GCGCGCTCTTGCCTTAAGACGGGGTGAGGGTTGCATGGGCGCTGGCCGGCACCTCAGTCCGTGCTGAAAAGGGTTTAGGGAGGGTTCTTACGACAATGAGGGTCCCTAGCCCTGGTTCAATTCAAGATTTCCCTGTGTCAGAGCTCTGGATTGAGGTCGAAACGGTCTGGGACTGGTAGGGTCCACAGTTAGAAAGGCTATGTAACTTGTACGGGATGGCCTTATGGCCCAGGTATACAGCCCGCAGGTATCATAGGGGGCCTCACTCGTCATGCCAAATCTAAATGTATCCAAACCATGCACCCTGAGCCGTGACGCCATATAGCCTAAGCCCTTCAATACTTGTTTCGAGGCGCTGGATGAGGAGCAACTTGCAGCCAAGCGCGAGGAGCAGCATCGCCAACGCGAGGCCACGGCCCCGACTCCAAAATCCCTTGCTTCAGGACGAAATGAACCCCAAAAGGTTTTCAGGTTCATATACCATATAGGGATTCATAGTATAAGGGTATACGGCCCCTACTTATAAGGGTCATTTGGTCCCCAAGGTTGGTTACATAGTACAGGGTTTGGGGGTTTTAGGGTACAAGGCCGGGCAGTGAGGATTGAACCTTCCACAAGTCTGCTTACAAAATAAAAGTCTTGCCCGAAATCACCAACCAGTATCCCCAGGCTTGGGGTTTAGGGTTTAGGGTTTAGGGTTTAGGGTTTAGGGTTTAGGGTTTTGGGTTTTGGGTTTTGGGTTTTGGGTTTAGGGTTTAGGGTTTAGGTTTGAACCGTCAACGTAACTGCTGAGTCGAACTCCCCCCCACCCCACGAATAATTCAACTCTAAAGGCTCTAAACTCCAAGCCGAAGAAAGGGATCTTCTTTGCCGTCCTACATTCGTGGAGGTCCCATCTTCTCCCACGTTGGGAAATCCTGCTGTTTGTTGTTACAGACCCTATACTTTTGTGTGTTATATATGAGACCCGATACTGTTGTGTGTTATATGAGGGTCACCCTTTTGGGACAAAGCTCGTAAATGACACACGGATTTGGGTGTTGGAAACTGTTGCTGTTCACTGAATACTTGAGTCCACTGCCGTTGCACACGAGAGCTCCAGGTCAAATAAGGATACTGCCACTGCTGCTGCTGCTGCCGCTACTAGAAACGAGTTATACTACGACAACGACTACTAGTACTGCTACTTTTGCTACTACTACTTCTACGACCATCACCCCCGCCACCGCCACCACGACTACCACCACCAAGTCGACGATGCCTACTACTAGTAGAAGCCTGACGTCTGAGTTCCGACAAGTAAACCATGAACCCCCTCAAGCCATCAACCCAATTAGCCTTAAGGCCTACAGCCCAAACTCCCAAACATTAAACAAACCCTAAACCACAAAAGCGCACCCCAGCAAAACACTTAAATCGTCAAATCCCTAGAATTTACGTCTTTCGAAGTCAAACAAACCGTGATTGATAGATTCTGTATTGATCTCGCTTGTGAACCTTTGCAAAACCCCGTAGAATCTGTATGAAAACCTAAAAGTGGAAGGCAGAGTTGGCTAAGCTGGGTATGCACTGCGCCGGGATGGACCTTGACGATGTGCCCAAGGCCGAGCCATGCGCAGTTCTCTCAGTTCCGACATTAATCTGCCGGTTATTCATAGGAGGGAACTTATAGCGTGCTGTTTGTAGATGGCTTTCTTACGTTTCATAAGTTTGTTATTAGCTGTTTCTTGAGGTTGGTAGGTATCTGAGAGCTGAGTAGTATTGCTCCACAAGTTTTCGTGATAATAGTGTAATCATGTGTAGTCCTGTGCTCGCAGTCGTTAGCTACTGCTCGCGCGTACTAGCGTATTCATAGCTGTGGGGCTTGATTGAGCTCCGAGCCACATCGAAGACAGGAGCTGCAGACCCATGCCATTAACCTCAAGCTCTTGCACGGGACTTCCTTAAGAACATAGCAGAGTAGAATAGAGTATACTTTAACATTGCAAAGTATAGCACGATATGATATTAGAATATAATGTCGCATGATATCCGATTACAGGCCAACCCGCAAATGCGAACCTGCAGCGGCTGCAGGCACCAAAGCTTGTCAATCTTCATCCAGATCCTGCCCTCAAGGCCTGGCCCGGCTGGCCGATTGCAATGCGCCCCCAAACCTGGTGCCAACCCTTAGGGCCTTAGGGTATAGGATGTAGACGGTTTAGGGTTTAGGATATAGGGGAGGAGCTGTTTAGCTTTTAGGTTTGAGGTTCAGAGGTGGCTCGATATTTGGCCGCACCGTCCCTGTATCAGTAAACGGGTTTAGGGTTTAGGGGTTTAGGGTTTAGGAAACTACGGCCTTCCCCCTTTCAAGGCGTAACGCCCTAGCATATGCCCTGAGCCTTGCACCAAAGCCCTTAGATCCCTTGCCGAAGCCTTATTGCACAAAAGTTAACCTTGCCCACGGGGTTTCCTGGCCTTACGACCTTGAACCGTTGTAGAATCCGTTAGGAACAGGGCCACTTCACCCCAAACTCCCAAACCCAGAGGCCTGCCTCGTCTACTCACATAAACGTGAGAACATACACCAAAACCATGTTTTCGTTAGTCCAGCCCCCAGGCTACAAAGGGCTGCCCGGTCTACTGCCCAGAATTAGTTTTGCAAACCCTACAAAGACAGGGCTGCCTGGTCTACTACCTCCCTTCCGGGGAGACGAAAATCGGGGCGGATCCCGATAGTTGCCACGCCACTGGGCACTGTCCATTGGTTCAGGGGTTATAGGGTTTGTTCCTTCGGGTTCGTTGGTTTAGGTTTTTGAGGAGTTGTGACTTCGGGTTTAGATGCTTATTTGTTCTTTGTGTGCCGCTGCTTCTAAGGTGTTTTGAATGGTTCGGTTATGCTTACCGTGTTATTGGGGTCCTCCTTTTTTCTTTGCAGAGCCAAGACGAATACGGAGGCCTGAGCTGAGGCTTGACATGGACGGCAGACTTACAAGGGCCAGATAGTGTTCAGGGCTTCAGGGGTAGAACTATCGAGCTTCGTTAGGTATCATGTTTTAGGAAGCTCCCATAGTTGTGGCCCCTATATAGTTCTAGGATAGCACACTTCTTCCTAAACCCTATTCTGCCTCTGCCGACCTCTCCACCCTAAACCCTTAACCCTTAACCCTTAACCCCAAATCCTAAATCCTGAACCCTTAAACCCACAACCGCACCCAGGTCATGCTGTCGGGCCTGAATGTGGGACCTGAGGCCAGGATTCCTGAATCCTTAGGCTCCATGTGCCTGCAGAGTCTATATGCAGGCCTGAAAAGCACCTATGTACGAATGCCTAAATATAAATATAAATATGTATATATATATATATATGTATAATATATATATATATACACTTTCGAGGGCCTTCGAGGGTACATGGAGCCTTTGGGTACGGTGTCGCAGTGTTTGGGAGTTAAACTAACCAGCATTCGGACTGTGGTGAGTGGTAGTTGGCATCCAAGTAGGGGTGAGGGTTTAGGATGGTCGGGTGCCGGGGGGATTCATGATGGGTTTAGGGTTTGGGGATTATGGCATGATGCTGTGATATGATGTCGTCGGCAAACTTAATCAGGTGCACCGTAGATGCTCTTAATTTCACACAATAGTACAATTCAAAAGCGTACATGTGCATATCATATGACACATGTAGGTCTATCTATGCATCTACCTCTCTGTCTCTATCTACCTATCTATCTACTTACCTACCTACCTACTTACCTATCTATCTATCTATCTATCTATCTATCTATTTACCTATTTACCTATCTACCTATCTATCTACCTATCTATTTGTCTATCTATCTATCTATCCATCTATCTATCTATCTATCTATCTATCTATCTATGTATCTATGTATCTATCTATCTATCTATCTGTCTATCTACTTACCTACCTATCTATCTACCTATCTGTCTGTCTATCTATATGTCCAGCTATCTATCTATCTACCTACCTATCTGTCTATATATCATCACAGACGTGGTGAAACTTTTTGTAGCAGTACAGACACGAGCACACGAGCCCTGAAGCCCTGAGTCAAGCCTGTTGCGCATGCGCTTTCGAATCCCTCCTACCGGGGCGGTGCTGGCCAAGTACGGCGGTTGGATAGAAAGGGGGAATTTCTCAACCGAAAGGCATTTCAAGAATCCTTTTTTGAAATCAACCTGCTGCTCACATCGGCACTTTGTTCTGTGCAAGGGGACCCCAGACGCTAACCTTCTGAATACCTACACATTGTGGAATGCGCATGCTTTGGAGCATGGGAACCCGAGTGAGTCAGACTACAGAAAACGGCAAAACCTAAACCTGTCGGCTATGGCTCAAGCCCCTTGGTGGTTCACGACGCCTTCTTCGACAACCTGATTCTGCTCATCATGGCCAAGATGCTGACCGCGCTCCTGGCCTTCCTCATGGCGGGTGCCCAAGCGCGACTGGGCGAGACTTCGGAGAGGCCCAGGAATACATCCCGGCCGTCTCCGGAGGACCTGCTCCCAGGCGGCGCCGCGCGCAGAGAGGAATACTGGTCGAATTCCACGCTGCGCTTCAACGTGAACCCGAGCCTCTCAAAGTTGCACGACGTGACCAGGAGGCTGGGCTACGACCACCTGGCAACGACCACGCGCTACGGAGACACTTGCTGCGCTTCCTGCGGGTCAATCGACACTGCCAAACTCGTTGCTGGGACAGGGTTCTACGCTGTGGCATCTGCGGAGGCGATGCAAGCTCATGGCATCGGCGATGGGCATTACTGCACCAAAGATGCATCGGGCTCTTCAGGCATGGGCTGCCTGTCCTGCGCAAGGGGCAAATTCCTTTGGTATCATCCCTTCGACTATCCCTTGTGGGCGCAGAAGGGGTCTTCCATCTTCCGGAAGGAGCTGAAGATCGTCGTTGCCGACACGTGCCCGCATAAGGGCAACGAAGCCTGGTGTCCGGGCCGCCAGGGATCCTCGAACCAGTTCGGTGTCCGGCACCACTTTGATTTTGCCAGTCCGCCGGGCAAGTACGACAACTACTACTTCGCCTGGAAGAAGATGGAGTGTCCAGATTACATCAAGAGACGATATGCGAGCCTGAGCAGGTGCTGAAATCCGGCCGTGCAGGCCAACCACCCTAATTTGACTTATAAGCGGCTTCTGTGCTCTGGCAACTTCTGATTAGATCCCGTGCAGCCGCCATTCAACCTGCCATACCATATGTCTGCGAGCACAGGAAATGCCACCCTGCAACTAGTTTTGACAGTTTTACCGTGCTGCTACACCTCTCTGCATCAGCGGAAAGGTGTCTAATCCCCGCTTTTGGGCATCCGCAGTGTTCACCTGCATAGCTAAGACGGTGAAGTCACTCGTTGCCGCCAAATTCAAGACGTGTGGGGCACACATGCTGTACCCTGACAATATCCTAAGACAAGCAAAGCTTGCATTGTCATCAGATTCGCAAAAAGCCGTACAGGCCTACAGGGCCTAAGTCGTCCAGAATGGGAGCCATAAGTCAGACCCCTTCGAAGGCCCCGTCAAAACCTGAAACCGAAACTGACAGGCTTGTCCAAATTGAAACCCGCCCTCAGAAGATGTTTCGCGAGAGGCCACGAGACCTCATCTGTCAAGTCCGAGTTGCGAGAGAGTAAGTAGCCCTAGGCCCTAAGTAGTTGGAAAACGTCGCCATGGGTACAAGAGCTCGGGCAACACCTCTTTAAGTTACTTCGAACGATCACTTCAAGAATTGCCCTACTCGTCCTTAGCAGCGGATTTGGGAAGATAGCAGCAAGATGAAACATTGCTGAATCGGTGCTTTATAAAGCTCCTAAACCCGAAACCCTGAACCCTAAACCCTAAACCCTAAACCCTTAAGCTCCTAAACCCGAAACCCTTAACGATGAACCCTAAAAAGCTGAATCTTGATGGCCCAGGAAGCCTTGCAAAGCTGACCTCTGGGCAGTTTCTTCAGCTAGGGTTTAGGGTTTGGGGTTTAGGGTTTAGGGCTTAAAAATTGAATCCGGATCCCTGATCCTTGAACCATTGCCTTCAGAACCCCAAAACCCCACTTTTTTGTAGGTTCTTATTATAAACCCTAATATGGGATTTGTAGGGACCCTACAAAAAAGTAGGTTGTGGGTTCTTAAAGTGGGGCTTTGGGATGTCTAGGTTTCAGGGTTTAGGGTTTAGGATCCCCTTTTAAGCGCCGGCCTTCGCAGGTGTGTGCAGTGGAAAATGTCGATAATGTCTGGGCCTCGGCTTGCCGGTTCGGGCGGTTCAGGGTTTAGGGTTTAGGGTTTTGGTTTAGGGGTTTAGGGTTTAGGGTTTAGGGTTTAGGGCTTAGGGCGGGCTTATAAGATGCGGTTGCATAAGGGCTTCTGCACTGCAAGGCTCCAAAGGGCTTACATTGAAGAAGGCGTTTTTATGCGGGGTCTTGGAGACTGGTTCAGGTGTCATGCTACTAAGGATCATGCTCTTCAGGGTCTAACGCCCTTTATTTTCCGAGTCTCGCCGTTCGCCGTTGCGATGTGCCCTGCCCCCAGAATCCCCAAAGCCTACATGCCTGAATTCCCTTCATAAGCGCCCTGGATTGAGGATGCCCTCTCTGATGCCCTCCTGTTGAGGCATCCCCTTAAATCATATGGGAGTTTCCGAAAACAAGGGATACCTTTTTGGGGCCTATTTTCTGAAACCCCCATATGGGAATCTAGGGAACCTTTCCGACCAGGTTCTCGAAGATCCTGAACGGTAAGCCCCACCTTAACTACACCTTCACACAAGCCCTGGACCTGACCAATGCTATACTTTCTATACACATTACTTAAGTAAGGGGGTTTCCGGGTCCATGCGTTGAAGGTTTCGGGCTTTCCGGCTCTGCAGCAACAGTCTCCCCTCCCCCCTCCCAAAAATGAGTCTTTAAGTTTGGAGACTGAGGGCAGTCGGACTTAGGGATGTGCAAGGGTGCGGATTCAGGGCTAGGAAGAATACCTGGCAGGGAGTCCGAACTCCTTACAGAAACCCTGAACCTTAAACTCTGAACCCGAAACCCTACACCCCTAAGGCCCTGAACCCCTAAACCCCTAAACCCCTAAACCCCTAAACTCTGAACCCTAAGCCCCTGAACCTGAACGATGCCTGACATGATGTTGCCACTGTTCTCCGACTGTGTAATGTAGGAGCCTGATTAAGATACCTTGGGTATTTACTAGGGTTTAGGGTTTAGGGGTGATTAATGTTGTGGTTACAGAGCCAGGGTTTCTTAATCAGGTCCCTACATTACCCTGTATTGCAGGCTTGGTCCCAGCTAGGTGGGAGGCAGAAAACCTCAAAGCTTGGGACACTTGGAAGTGTTTCACCTCATCCGACTACGCGCCTGGCTTGTCTGAGTTTGAGCGCCGAAACCCCAAACCCTAAAATTCTAAACCTTTGTTCCAAAACCCTAAGCCCTAAGCCTGAACACAGAACCCTAAGCCCTAAATCCTAAACCCTGACACCCTAAATCCTAAGCCCTAAACCTTAAACTCTAAAAGTCTAAAACCCTTAGACCCTAAACCCTCAATCCTAAACCCCTAAACCCTAAACCCTAAAATTCTAAAACCCTTAGACCCTAAACCCCCAATCCTAAACCCCTAAAGCCCTGAACCCTAAACCCTAAAATTCTAAAACCCTTAATTAGACCTAAACCCTCAATCCTAAACCCCTAAAGCCCTAAACCCTAAACCCTAAGATTCTAAAACCCTTAGACCCTAAACCCTCAATCCTAAACCCCTAAAGCCCTAACCTGAAAGCCTTGTTCCAGAGGCCGAGCTCTCTGTGAGACCCCTGGGCTCGGGTCTGGTTCGTGTGCCTGGCCTGCAATTCTTGCCTCCCTGGGGTTTAGGGTTTAGGGTTTAGGGTTTAGGGTTCTTAGTCGGGAATGGGGGGGTTTAGGGTTTTAGGGTCTGGGATTTTAGGGTTCAGGGTTTGGAGTTTAGAGTTGTAGGGACCACAGACAAGGGCTATAAGACTATAGGGACCAACAGACTATCATAGGTAACGGTGGGAATGAGATATAGGGACTAGAAGTACTATCAGATTATAAGGGACCTCAGGGGGATGATTCTCATAGTCCATTCCCTTATTCCCCACTAAGAACCGAAGGAATTCTGGCACCACGCAGCTGCGTGGTCTATATCACCGCCTCCGACCGTACTTTCGGTTGCAACAGAAACATGCAGCACTGTCGTGCAATTCGTTCCCGTAGACATTCCGCAGCATGAGTCCACCGTTCTATACCGCAAGAGGCAAGCATGGGCTAGACTGCTTCAACTTATGCTGCCTCATAACATTGTACTTACACGCGTAGCTGTTATCGGTATGCTAGACTTTGGGTATGTTTAGGTTCTGTCACATGGTGTGCTTTGTCATTTGTCGGCTTGGATTAGTGATAAGGTTCTGCTATATGATGTTGCACATGCGCGGGACCATTTCACTACGATACTGTAATTATGGTGCATCATGAGGTGTCGTGATTATGGAGTTGTCCAGCCAAGGCTGGAGTCGTCATGGCAACATCCCATGTCACGTCATGAGTGTGGAGAAATGTACTCGACACACAGATGTCGTGTTTTTTACGTTACGCGGTGGTGCTTGGTATCATGTTCCACTACACTATACGCTTACTGACACACAATATATACGAGATCTTGCTGCTTCAGACATCCTACCCCACATTCGCTCAAGTTTCTCAAGACCCTAATCCCTAAACCACGGCACAGTGAACCGAAGCCGCACAGTGTAACTGAACTGCAGCACCAAGGTGAACGGAAGCAGGGTCTCAGAGGCCGCCTCCGCGAGACATTTCACTGGGAATAGGGGCCTCAAAACCTGGCATAGGATCTGGGGCATATGTATTCTACTACAATTACGTAAATAAGGAACACTAAGGAAGAATGTATGTCATCCTTCAGGCGTCTACATTAACGTGACGAGGGCTGCAGGCTTGCGGTTCATGACCTGGGGGCCGAAATAGGTCTTAACCCTAAACCCTATACCCCTAAACCCTAAACCCTAAACCCCGAAACCCTAAACATCCTCAGGCAGCCTGGGCTTCGGTTTAGGGCGGTTAGGAAGTCACGAACCCTGCAGCCATTTCCGGGGAGCCCCAATACCCATTAAAACAACGACGTTTACTGAGCTTATGAGGGCCTGCTTGTTACTGTTAATGTTCGTTACTTGCCTCTGCTTGTGATAATATAATATTGTTTAGGAACTACGTATGTGTTCTGGAGGCATGCTCCTTTTTTTGGGATGTGGAGGCGTTAGGACATAAGGAAAGTGATTACCGTTCGATCTAAGAATATAGGACTTCTTGTTATGTTGTGGGGATACTGTCCTAGCTTACCTTTAGAGTTTCCATCTAGGGAGTCTTCCGAAATTAGGACGTTTGTCACATGATGAACAAATGGTTACTATTCCTGATTTTATGCTAATTTCATTAGGATGTGTCTTTAAGGAGGATTCTGCGCCCTTTCGCCGAAACCAGGCCGGTCAAGCCCTGCGAGACGGCGACAGGCTCGCACGATAGGCTTCAGGGTTTCGGGTTTAGGGCGGTAGCCTCGATGATGGCAGGTCGTGGTCTGGCTAGACTTGAATCAAGCAGCAAGAAGTGTAGCCTCGACCCTGCAGCGGGACGTAGTGTATGGGCCTTACTTGAATATGAATGGAGGTTCTCGTGCTTTTACACTCTTTGCAGGCGGGGCTACGTTTTTCTCATAGGGTTGTTGTGGTTGAAAAAGTCCTAAACTAAACCCCTAAACCCCAAAGGGAGGCCAAAAACCCTTATAGGAATCTTAAAATTTGGCCATGAGGATCCTCCCATATTTGGGCCTTATACATACGGAGCAACGTTTTTTCTGTTCATGCTGCTTTGAGTCTTAGGTTTTGGTGTGCTGCACCTTCGTGGTTTGCAGGTTTGAGTTTTTTTTTGTGGCGTGCTGGTTTACAGGAGTCTTATCCGCTTATAGAGTTTTACGCAACTGTTACATTTCCACTTCGGGTTTATAACCTAAAGCGACCACCCTACACCCCGAGCCCTATAAGGCCGTAGGCCTGAGAGATGTCTCTGGAATGGA